CATCTTGGGCTGGCAGTTAGCTCGTTATACCAAGGTCACAGGTTCGGATCCCTGTACCAGCCAACCACCAAAAAAAAAAAAGAAAGAAAGAAAGAAAGAAAACAGAACATCAGAAGCCAAAAATTGATCAAAGCAATCCAAGTCAGCTATAATCCTGATGAAACATCAAAACCAAATATGATAGAGCACTACTCAGAATTCCAAGAAAATGGTAGAAGGAAATATGAAGCATTGATTTTAACACATGAATCAAGTATTTAATTCAATTTTTGCAGGAAATACATAATTTAAATCATCAAAAGATCATTAACTTGAAACAGAAGGTAGCTCAACATGAAGAAAAGTGCCAGGAACCTTGCAAAGACACAGCTCAAATATGTGATACAACTGACAGATTGTTAAGACACTGCCAATAAGGGAGCCAAAGACAGTGGGCTTTACTTTAACAAACCTCTGGAAGCTAACCAGCAGTTCTCAGTCTACTGTGAAACTGATAGATCTGTAAATGGATGGACAGTGCTTCAGAAGAGACTTGATGGCAGTGTGAATTTCGGAAACTGGACTCAATGTAAGGAAGGGTTTAGACATCTGTCTCCTACTGGACCACAGAGTTTTGGCTGGGAAATGAGAAGATTCTTTTGATAAGCACACAGTCTGCAATCCCATACGCATTAAGAGTGCAACAGGAAGACTGGAATGGCAGGACCAGTACTGCAGACTATGCCATGTTCAGGGTGGGACCTGAAGCTGACAAATTCTGCCTGACGTATGCCTACTTCATTGATGGAGATGCCAGAGATGGCTATGATTTTGGTGATNTATACATATGTATATATATTACAAGGCTACAGTAATCAAAACAGTATGGTACTGGCATAAAAACAGACATACAGACAAATGGAACAAAATAGAGGCCCCAGAAATAAACACACATATATAGTGAACTGATCTTTGACAAGCGTGCCCAGAATACACAATGAGGAAAGGACAGTTTTTCAGCAAATGGTGTTGAGAAAACTGGATATCCACATGCAAAGAACAAATTTGCACCCTTCTACTGTACACAAAAATCAAGTCAAAATGGGTTAAAGACTTAAATGTAAGACTTCAAACTGTGAAACTTCTGGAAGAAAACATAGAGGAAAAGCTTCACCAAGTTGGTCTTGGCAATGATTTCATGGATAACACCAAAAGCACGGGCAACAAAAACAAAAATAAACGAGTGGGACATTAAGCTAAAACGTTTCTGTACACCAAAGGAAACAACAGAGTAAAAGGCAACCTATGGAATGGGAAAAATACTTGAAAGCCACTTATCTGATAAGGGGTTCGTTTCCAAAATATATAAGGAACTCCTACAACTCAACAGCAAAAAAACAAATAACCCAATTAAAAACTGGGCAAAGCACATCAATAGATGTTTCTACAAAGAAGATATATATATATATGACCGACAGGTATGTGTAAAGATGCCCAACATCGGGCCGGCCCAGTGGCGCACTCGGTAGAGTGCGGCGCTTGGGAGTGTGGCAGCGCTCCTGCCGAGGGTTCAGATCCCATATGGAGACCGGTCCACTCACTGGTTGAGCGCAGTGCGGATGCGACACCAAGGGTTGCGATCCCGTTGCCAGTCGCGGTGCAGGCGCAACACTGAGGGTTGCTATCCCGTTGCCGGTCATGAAAAAAGACAAAAAGGAAAAAAAAAAAAAAGATGCCCAACATCACTAATCATCAGCAAAATGCAAATCAAATCCACAATGAAATGTCACCTCACACCTGTCAGGACAGCTATCATCAAAAAGACAAGACATCAAGAGCACAGACAACAAGTGCTGGCGAGGATGTACAGAAATTGGAACCCTTGTATACTGTTGGTGGGAATGCAAGATGGAGCAGCCACTTTGGAAAACAGTATGGAGGTTCTTCAGAAAACTAAACACAGAACTACCATATGATCCAGCAATCCCACGTCTGGGTACTTATCCAAAAGAACTGAAATCTGGATCTCCAATAGATATTACCATCCCTATGTACCTTGCAGCATTATTCACAATAGCCAAGATGTGGAAACAACCTAAGGATGTCCACAGACAGATGAATGGAAAAGGAAAATGTGGTATATATACATAATGGAATACATTCAGCCTTAAAAAAAAAGTTAATTCTGCAATATGCAACAATGTGGATGGATAGTGAGTACATTGTGCCAAGTGAAATAAGGCAGTCACAGAAAGACAAACACTGCGTGATTCCACTTACATGAGTTATCCAAAATAGTCACATTCATAGAATTATAGAATCAAAAAGTGGAGTGGTTGCCAGGGCCTAGGGGTAGGGGGAAATGAGGAGTTACTAATTAATGGGCATGAGGTTTCAGTTAAAGCAAGATGAATAAACTCTAGAAATCTGCTGTACAACACTGTACCTAAGGTCAGTAAAAATGTATTATACACTTAAATTTGTTAAGAGGGTAGATCTCATGTTAAGTGTTCTTACAACCATAAAATGTTTTTAAAAAACAAATATGGGGGGAGTTATTATTTAAATAGTACAGTTTCAGTTTGAGATGATAAAAAGTTCTGGAGACGGATGGTGCTGTTGGCTGCACAATGTGAATGTACTTAATGCCGCTGAACTATACACTTAAAAATAGTTAAAATGGTACAGTTTATGTCATGCATATTTTACAATTTTTTTTAAGTGAAACTCCACAGTAAATTGCAAAGCACATAGTAATGACGAGGCTCCATCTGTAGAGACACTATGACAAATCTTGTGAGTCAAAGGGAAGGTCAGGAGGCAGAGGAATAGGGAAAAAGGGGGAGCTGGAGCTGGGAACCTGAGAAAGGACATGAACAGGGAAGGGGTGGGGAGCCTCAGGAAGAGGCCCAGAATAGACAAGGGCCAGAAGGGGAGGGAGAAGGGAAACCCTAGGCAGAGAGGCGGCGAGGTCCAGCTGGCTGGGTGTATATTCTCAGGAACTGCTTCAGGTACTCCTTCCCTCCCAGGCCTCAGGCAGGACGGGGCAAAGGTGGGCAGCCAGGGCCTTTATTTGGGTCTTCTAATCTCTTGACCTGTCCAGTACACCAGGATACCCTCAGAGGCCCAGGCCCATCTCAAGCCCCAGCCCAGAGGAAGAGAAGCCCAGGCTCAGTGTCCAGTGTTCTTTTCCATAAGGAAGCTAAGAGAGGGACTGGCTGGTTAGCTCAGTTGGTTAGAGCAAGGTGCAAGGCCTTGTAACCAAGGTTAAGGGTTTGGATCCTTTTACTGGCCAGCTGCCAAAATATAAATAAATAAAAGGAAGCTAGGAGGGCCAAACTTAACCCCAAGGGCTGTGAGGCCAACATAAGAATTACTGTGACTGCGACAGGACCCACAGCAAACCCTGTGAATCTGCCTGCAAAATAAACACAGGATCCAAATACCTCTGACCACCTCCACTCAACGATCCTAGTTAAGTGGTTGACCATTGAACAATGCGGGGGTTAGGAGCACCAGCCCCGACAAGCAGTCAAAAACCTGCCTATAATTTTGACTCCCCCAAAACTTAAGTACTAGTAGCCTGTTGATGGAAGACTTACCAATAACATAGTCGATTAATGCATATTTTGTATGGTATAAGTACCATATGCTGTATTCTAAATAAATCCAGAGTAAGGACCATTGTAAAAAAAAGAAAAGGAACTTTATGAATTTGTCGCGTACCTGCAGGGATGGCTTCACAAATTTATTTATTTAAAAAAACCCACATATGGAGCCAGCCCGTGGCTCACTTGGGAGAGTGTGGTGCTGATAACACCAAGGCCACACACAGGTTCAGATCCGTATATAGGGATGGCCGGTTAACTCACTTGGGAGAGCGTGGTGCTGACAACACCAAGTCAAGGATTGAGATCCCCTTACCGGTCATCTTTTAAAAACATAAATAAATAAAACAAAAATAAAAATAAAAAAACCTACATGTAAGTGTACCCATGCAGTTCAAACCCATGTTGTTCAAAGGTCAACCATTTTCTAGGTTGCAGTGGCAAACCATCCTAACCAGCTTCCTTGCTCCAGGTTAGCCAAATAGCCAGTCGGTTAGCTTGTTAAAATCAGTCAGACCATGTCACTCTGCTCAAAACCCTCCAACAACTCCCACTCCACTTATCAGCCCCTCGTGTGTGGTGAATTTACTTACCCAGGTCGGGCCTTTGCCCTCAGCTAGTGATCTCTAGGCACCTGGAATGTCCTGCCTGATAGGAGTGTTTGTTAGGGGACTTCAGCCACCGGGCAAACAATGTGATATATGAGAGCTCTGGGACATGCAAACTCTGGAGGGAATGAAGATTAAAGCTATTAGCCCAGGGGCCGGCCCGTGGCTGGGAGTATGTGGTGCTGATAACACCAAGGCCACGGGTTCAGATCCCTATATAGGGATGGCCAGTTAGCTCACTTGGGAGAGCGTGGTGCTGACAACACCAAGTTGAGGGTTAAGATCCCTTAACCAGTCAGCTTTTAAATTAAATTAAATTAAATTAAATTTTTTTAAAAATTAAAAAATAAAAGGTATTAGTCCAAAGCTCTGGGAGGGGCTGTAGACTACAGGTCAGCCCCAAGAAAAACTCTAAGCACCAAAATCTCAGTTGAGCTTCCCTGCTTGGTTGTTATATGTGGCCAGGAGGAGGTAGTGTGTCCAGGTCTTCACTGGGAGAAGACATCTAGAAGCCTCACATCTGGACCCCTATGCATCTTGTCCTTCGGTTGTAATAAAACTAATCCCAGTGCTTTCCCGAGTTCTGAGTCATCATAGCATACTACTCACCTGGGGATGGTCATGGGGACCCCTGACATTGCAGCTGGTGTCTTGAGGGCAATTTCATGAGGACTGTGCCCTCTACCTGTGCAGTGGGCCAACCTCCGGGCACCCTATGTGACCACCTTACCGTGGCCATCATGATCTGCCCGCTCCTTGCCAGCTGGACCTAACCTTCCATTCCCCTCCCCCTTCTCTCTCCTCGTTCCTCACAAGCACACCCGCCCCAGCCCACCTAGCCACAGAAAGCCGCTTCCCCAAATACCCAGCCAGGTTAATTTCCTCACTTATTTTAGGACTTTTACTCAGAGGTTAACTCCTTGGTGAGGCCTTCTCTAGCCCCCACCTCAAATCCCCTCTACCTGCAAACACCTTTCCTGCTTTACTTTCTCCTCCTTGAACACTATCACTGTATCCACCACACTGCAACTTGTCTTATTTCTCTTCCATTTCCCCATGAGAATTTAAGCCCCAAGGAGGCAGGGATTTTTGCACTTTGTTCCCTGCTGTAACCCCTGGACCTAGAACAATTCGGGAACCTGCTGTGTGTTCAATAAACTCTTGTTGAAGGAATGACCTCTAGCATCCTTTAGAAGTGCCATCCCACCCCCACTTTTTCTCCCCGAAATGTCAAGTCTGCAAAAACAGGAAAACTGCCCACACTTTGACTGAGGACCTTTACTGAGACCTCCAGGAGAGCACCCTGGCCGGCCTGGGCGAGGAGGTGTGGATGCTGGTCCCAGCCCTGACACCTCCTTGCTGTTGACCTTGGAAGGCCCCTTCTTCTCTAGGCTTTGGTACCTAAATGAATAATGAAAGGGCAGGAGCAGACATATGGAACTCTCTGGCCAAGATCACTGTGGAGCAGGTCTGGAGGGTAGTGGGGGAGAAATTTCTGCTGTGACAGAGGGGCAGAGGGAAGACAAGACCTTACCAGGCAGGAGTGACTTTTATTTGAAGGTAAAAAACACTCTATTTGGAGGTTCATCTATAATCTGTGACAGTTTTTAAAAAATAAAGAAAAAAAGGGAAAAACCAGAAGCCAAAGGGCCTGGGGAGGGGCAGGGAAGGGCAGCGGGTACTGGTCAAGCCACGTAGGGGAAGCGGAGCAACAGCCCCTCGTGAGGTTCCAGGCTCAGGTGTTCCAGCTCAAGGGAGGAGCCCTCTTCACGGCCTGGCTGGGTGCTGAGCAGGAGGTCAGCCCTGGCTGGCAGGCTGGCACTGGCAGGCAGGTTGGAGGCCCTCAGTCCAGCTGAAAGGCCCTTATCCCCGAAGTTGAGCACTACCAGGAAACGCTCATTCTGGTCCCAGTGGCGGACGTAGGAGAAGAGGCCCGGTGTGGAGGAGAGAGCGTGGAAGTCCCCATGTAGCAGGGAGCGCTCCTTACCCCGCTGTTCACTCAATCTCCGGAACAGGGAGAGGAGGGAGCCAGGGTCTTCATTCTGTCCCTGAGAAAGATGAAGACACAGCGGGCGGAGGTGAGGCAGTCCCCTGGGAATGGACTTCTACAAGCCACCTGCCCACCCTCTGCTGCCGAGCAGGTCCTGCCCACCTAAAACCCTTACCTTCACAGTCATGTTGGCACTTATGAGCCCCGAGGTGTTGGAGAAGATGAATTCATCCCACAGCATGATCGGGGCCTCTTCAGGCTGAAGAGCAGAGAAAATAGGACTTGAAAAAGGCCTGGGCCCACTCTCCCTCGTCCCTCCTCCCATTCCCACACTCCCGGATGCACAACCTACCCCACCCGTGCCTGGCTAACTACTACTGGACAAGCTAGGCAGGCTCCTACCTCAAGGTCCCTGCACACCTACTGTTCCCATAGCCTAGAAGGCTCCCAGACAGCTACAAGCTAGCTCGCACTTCCCTCAGGTCTCTGCTCTGTTATCTCACTTGTTTTCTGTGGCCACTCTATATAAAATATATCTCCATCCCCTATTCTCTAGGCCCCTTACCCTGCTTTTTTTTGCATTAACACTTACCAGCACCTGACATCTTTATTATAACGGGGTCTTCAAAAGTTCATGGAAAGATTCGCATTATCTTTTTTTTTTTTTCTTGGTGGCTGGCCAGTAGCCAGTCAAGGCCATCTGAACCCTTGACCTTGGTGTTAAAACACCACACTCTAAAAAGCTGAGCTAACCAGCCAGTCCTGCATTATCTTTTAACTCTTTTTTTCCACAAAATTGAAGTACCCTTGATATCTAATTTCACCACCCCCAACTCTTTTGTACACTGCTATATCCTTGTTGTGTAGAACACAGAAGTTATTCAATAAAAATCTATGAACATGGTGCTGGTAATACCAAGGTCAAGGGTTTGAATCCCCACACTGGCCAGCTGCCCAAACAATAATCAATCAATTAACTAGTTAAATCTATAAACAAATGAATGACTGTTCTATAAATATCAGTTTGGGAATCAACCCCAACCCTGTGGCTAAAGCTAATGAATGCCTTCATGGCAGTACCCCTGTCACAGCGCTAACTGCCATGTTCTTCTCTGCTTTTTCATCTGGCTCCCTCACTAAACCATGAGCTCCTGCAGGGCACAGAGCCTAGCACAGAGTACCTCCTGTCCAATGAATGAATGAGTGGTGCCTACCACACTGAACATCTACCAGGTAGCAGGCATTGCCATTAAAAACATACCCACATTTAAGGGTGGGCCTGTGGCTCACTTGGGAGAGTGTGGTGCTGATAACACCAAGGCCACGGGTTCAGATCCCATATAGGGATGGCCGGTTAGCTCACTTGGGAGAGCGTGGTGCTGACAACACCAAGTCAAGGGATATTTATTATATAGGGATTAATATTTATACACACACACACACACACACACACACACACACACACACACATTTAGGCCTAACCACCCTGTAAAAAACCCAGTATCACAGAAGAGATGACCAAGATTCACAGGGGTAAAATAACTTGCCCAAGGCCACCCAGCTACTGACTAAGTGACTAACTAGGAGTTATACACAGTTTCACCCCAAGGCTCATGTCTGTCAGCCACCATCCAATGAACCATCATGATACCATGGATGAACACAATCTCCCCCACTGTGCTGGGCAGATAGCAAGCGGTACCTGTCCAGGAAGGGAAGCTGCTTCCAGGCCAATCTCATCCCCATAACTGAAAACTGGGGTACCCGGCAGGGTGAAAAACAGCATCTGGTAGAGTCGGAGGAGTCGAGTTGGCACGAAGGAAGTCAGGAGGCCCGCCTGAGACAACTGCAGGGACAGACACACTGCTAAGCCCCATAGCCCACCTTCGCCTCCATCTCCCAACCACCCTTTTCTCCAAAAGGCTCCCTGCCCCTGCTCCCACCAGCAAGGTACTCACACTCCAGCTGCACCAGTGACTGTCAGTGGCATTCAAATACTGGGTGACTAGTAATTTTGTATGCTCCCCAATGAAACCGGTGTTTGACAGGTATGAGCTGGTCAATAGCAGGTCCTTGGTGGATTCAAGTAGACTCAGGATCTGCTGAAGGTTGGAGGAGTCAGTCCCTGCAATCAAGAGCCTGAACAGGGCAGAGTAGGAGTCAAGGTTGGTACAAGAAAGGAAGAATGGAGGTGAAGAAAGTTCCGTGGTCTAAGAACACCCCCCCACCCTCCCCACTTTATTAAGGCCAATGGAGTTGAGTCAGGGTAGGGTGTTCTGACACCCACTTATCTTCACTGAAGCTCTTTGTGATGTTCTGCCACTCAGCCAAAAATGAGACTGTATCCTAGAAGGTAAAAAGCAGAATCAAAAAAGAGGGAATGTCATTGTCTATAGGTCCCAAGAATTTGAGAAGAAAAAAAAAGAGGAAACATTTTCAGTTCCTGGCTGAGTCCCTCTATTCTCACCCAAGCTTTGCCTCTCACATGGAAAGGGAACTCACCGTCAGATTCTCCACATCCCGAACCTGGAACCCATCCACTCCAGCCTGCAGCCAAAAACTCAGAGCATCCTATAGAGGGTAAAAGAACGGAGGGAAAGATATCAATGCTCAGGGGCAAAGGATCAGAAAATTCCAGCCCACACTAAACCTCGCCCACCATGCACTTCCCCATGTCACTTGCCTTGCCTGGTTGTCACTTTCCCACCTCTATTACAAAGGCTTAGCTCCTCTCCAGCTCTAACTTCTCACTGATTCTCTTAGTGCTATGGCATTTTACTTCTCTATTACTGCTCCTGGCAAATCACAAAGCTTCACCTTTGACAACCATGGAAAAGGCCCAAGAGAAAAAGTGTGTCCGTAGTAAACATAACTTCATTTAACACTTAGCACTTGGAATGCTAATACGAGTGTATCTGTTTTAGAGATGAGAAACAAAGAGAAGCAAGGAGACATGTCCAAGATCATAATCAGTGAGCAGCAGACAGGACCTAAAATGCCTGTCAAGGCAAGTATATTACTCTTCTTCTAGTTTCCTGAGCCCTGGGGAGGGTGTGAGTACAAGAACTGGTCAGAGCAAGGCCAATGATGAAAGACTGAAATTCAAAGCACAGCCCCAGGGCAGTTTAGACAAAGATTTGAAAAGAGGCCAGCTCTGCAGAACAGGCCCAGGCCAGAAGCCCTGGCATTCATCTGGCACATAACATGGAACCGCACCCCCACAACCCCTTTTCTTCTCTTTCTCTGCTCCATGTGCTCTCTCCTCTGGTCTCCATTTTCACCTGAGGCTACTACCCCTCATACCATACCATCTGAAAACATTCTCTTATCAGTAACTTTTAAAGGATCTCCTGGCAATTGGCAAGAGCTGAACTGGATAATCCCAGGGGTCCAACCCAAATGCTGAGAGTCCAGAATTCTACTTCAGAATCACAGCTGCCAGCAAATTGTCAGGATCTGCCTCCATTTTTGTTTTACCCATTCTGAACTGGTCAGTTTCCTAGAAGCCAGGCATCAGGAGCTGGAGTGACATTTAACGCCCTACTCCCAGCCTGCTAGGTATAGAGTTTGAGCCTATACCTTCAGAGACGGCACATTAGAGGAGTAAGACTACCTGGGACTTCAAATCTTGGGCACTTGAAGCCCCTCTGAACCTTAACTTCCTTATTTACAGATTAGGGACAATAATGGATACCTTGTATGGTTATACAAAGAACTAGAAAACACCTATAAAATACTTGGCCTAGTCCCAGATACATAGGAAGATCCCCATGCTTACAATTTCAGACCAGGCTCCACTCCAAACATATCAAACAAGAACTGAGAAATCAGTCAGGACAGGATTTCCATAAAGAAAGGGCTTCCTTCCTCTCTCACAAGGAAGAAAAATCAAACTTCCAGACTGACACCTGAGAAATTCCCTTCCTGGCACTGTCCCATCCTCAGAGTCCAGGAAACAAGAAAAATGAGTGGTTAGAAAAGGAACAAGAAAAAACAGGGGTGTGCTACTGGCCTATCTTTCTGGCTGTGGGAGGTGTTCCTCCTTTTGGGGAGGCTAGGTTAGGTTTGCAGGGCTTGAGCCAGGCTAGTTTTACAGGACTTGCTGTGAAAGGACCAACAACCCCAGCATCTGGCTCCCACCTGCCATCAGCTCCCACACACTCACCTTCATCTTGGTGGCCACAGTGTCAACCTGAGTGGGGTGGAACCACGAGTTCTGACCCCGGTAGTTGGGAGTAAGGTCCAAAACGACTTGGATGCCTTAAACAGAAGATTAGAGGCAATCGTGAGAAAGACTTTGGGGTAAGGGGAAAATGAGGAAATCACAAACATTGTCAAGCATTTCAACAAATGTTAAGCATTTCCTATGTATTACTTGGTGCAAAAGCTTGGATTTGAACCCTGGCAAAACTCATTCCACTGAAACAGACGTGAGCAAGGAAGGAACTTAAGATCTTGCAAGGCAAAAGGTTTATAATATAGTAAAGAAGGCCAAGTTGTGGGGCCCTGGGCTCCCCACCCCAAAGTGAACCCTTTTAAATAGCCTTCTTTAAAAAGAGTAAAAAATTAAAAATAAAAAAATTAAACAGGTTTCTATACTGAGTTGTAAGACATTTGGCATTGTTTTCCAAAAGGATCCACTGTTTTTTAAGTTTAAATACCACTGATTTAGTAAACGCCTACACTTTGCAAATTAGGACACTAAAGCCCAAAAGTTAAATGACCTGCTCAGGATTGTACAGCCAAGTAGAAAGCCCCTGAACCACTTGACAAATCCATTTTAGGCGGAAACCTGACAAACATCCATCCCCTATACCAGTTAGGAGCAAACCAGACAAACTCTGAGTCGGTTAGGAGTAAACCAGACAAAAATCCTATCCTGCTTTTCCTCTGGTCAGACCAAACCCTTTATAGCTGCTTCCTGGGGAACCCCAAGACACCCACTCTTTTTCTTGGCAGACTGCAGGAAACTGTCAAAATCTTCTTTGGAACCAAGAGTGGGGTCGATCTGTACCAAGTTGGTCCTGGCGACATCATCCTTCTGGTTCTGGTGAATTGGGCCCAGCACAAGGCCCTTCACCTTCAGAGTGCTCAGGTAATCCAGATGCCCCTTCAGACCTGAAATGGAGGGGTTGGATTAACAAGGGAGAGGCCCCTCTGAGAGGCCCCTGACCTCCCTATTTTCCCCTTCTCCCCGGCCCTAGGTGGGTGAGGAGGTTGTGAGGCTGGACTACAAGACTCGGGAGCTGACGTAAGGAGCCTTGCACATTACTTCAGAAACCGGTTGCAACTGGCTCCTGGCGCCGCGGGGGTAGGAAGGATGCTGAGTCAGCCACCCTCTTGAAAGAGTCGGGGGCGGGTCGGTTTTCTTCAAAGAAAGGAGGAAGGGACTGTGTGCCCAGGAGCGGTCACTCCAAGTGGGGTGGAGAACCTTCGGGTGGGGGTCGGTGCAGGGGACCGGATTACCGCAGGGGCGCGGGGAGGCTGTGCGCCGTACTTACCAGCCAGGCCGCGGGCGTCGCGGCCCTGGAAGGCCTGCAGGTCGCCGATGCGGTAGAGGGCGCCCTTGTGCCACCACCTCTGTACTGGCAGCTCGCGACAGCGCGGCGCCCGCACGATGATGACCACGGCGCCGGCCAGCATGCCGAGCCAGCCGAGCCAGAAGAGCAGCAGCAGGGCCCAGCGGGTGCGCACCCAGCCGGGGCTGCCCGCCACCTTCAGCAGCTCCTCCTTGGACAGGCCCGTGAATTTGGCCGCGGCCTCCGCCTCCGCCTCGTCCTCGGCCACCTTGATCTTCACCAGACCGTTCTTCTCGGCGCCGGCCGCCACCACCAAAGCCGCCCCCGACGCCGCGTTCATCGGCTGCTTCTCGGGTTCTAGCTCGTTCAGCTCCACCTCCTTCATGTCGACCTCGGTGTCCTGGCTCATGGTGCCTGCGGAATCAGCGACAAGACGCAGCCTCTGGTGAGGGGTGGCGCGGCTCCTGCCCGCTCCTGAGACTCCGCCCGCAGCTTCCGTTACTGCCTTTGCTGCGAGCGGGACGCAGCCTCTGGGTAGTGGCCGCGGAGCCCCGCCCCGGCCCGCCCCGGCCCGCCCCTTAAAGTGGAACCTCGGGGATTGCTCTTTCTGGGACCGCTGGCGTGGGCGGTGCAGGGAAATAATCGCAACACGCCTCCAACCCGTGCATGGTCTGATTTCTCGTCTCGAACCTGTCTACCCCTAAGGGTCCTTCGAGCAGGATGCTGGGGCGGGGGGGCGGGGGGGGCTAACACAGAGCCACCTTTAGGTGGACAAGTCTGTAATTTGTCCCGCCCCTATCCGAGGCCCTTTGTCTGGACTTCAGGCTCCAACGTCCCCAAAAGGCAAGACTGAGACCCTTCTTTGCCCACCCCGCAGGCTGGTGACTACCCGGGACACAGTCCTCCATTTGCCCCTGGCCCACGGCTCAGGCCACCTTCCCAACTTCGCGGCCACTTGACTCTCAAAGCCAGCCAGACCTAGCTTCTGCCTTTTCCGCCACCAGGCTTTGTCTCTCTAGGACTTGGCATTTAGACCTCCGCTTACGCGCACGTCTTACTCCCACTCCTTCAAGACTCATCTTGAGTTTCTTTCAGTTAATTCCTCATGCAGCAACTATTTGTTGAGCACCCACTACTGCACACTTTGCTTCATTAACTTTATTTAATTAACTCTAATCCAGTCTTCTCTGTGATGTTTTAAGACGAATGTTTGGACAGGAGAGTTGAGGATGGCACCCTCCTTACCCTACCCCACCCCCAGTTGCTGGCGCCAGGATGTTGAGCAGCTAGGAATCAGACATCCAGAAGAGACTGGGGGCTGCAGCAAACATTCCAGAGCTGGGCCTCAGGCATCCACCTTTTTCCTAGAACAGACCCTTCCCCCTCTTGCAGGGCCCCCCACAGATAATCCCAAATTCCGGAGGCAGCTGACACTGCAGAGGCTTTGAAGACCTCCCTCCACGGAAGTCCTTGGATAAAGAATAAGTGGGGCAGAGACAAGTTCACAGCAGGGACTACCAGACATCAACACTATGAGGTGCCAACACTCTCAGGAACTTCTTGTTCCAGCTGGGTTATTTTCAGAGAGGAGATGAAGGAAATAGTTTCTTTCTCCCTTTCCCACTTAGGCTGGAAGCCAGGATTGCTGTGTATTTGGTAGAAAACAGAAGCCAAGATCTGAAGTAATAGCAAAATGGGGTGTGAAAAGACTCATCCTCCACCATTCTTCTTTTGCACCTATCCACATCCCCACCCTAAGAAAGCTAGAACCATCTCTGAGGAGGAGGCAGACAAGTAGGGAGAGATTGGGGTTCATACCAGTGCTCAAAGATGATAATAGGTCCAAGGTACCCTGGGCATGCCAGATAAGAAGTGCCAGCCAGGGACTTTATCCCCAGCATGATAGCTCCAGGTTGAGAACTGTGAGGTAAGAAGTTCTCCTTGAGATGGTTCGACATAACACCCCCTAGAAACATAGTATCTCCTCATAGCACCCCATGGCTCCAGATGGCTGAAGCCAATTCCTTCCGAATGCCATAAAGAAGCTAACAATTTACCACCCCAATCTTTTTTGGGGGGGAGGGGTGCAGGCAGCTGGTAGGTACAGCAATCCAAACCCATGACCTTGGTGTTATAAGACTGAACTCTAACCAAGTGAGCTAACCAGCCAGCCCTAACTTTTTTTTTTTTTTTAACCTCCCCAGTGTTATTACCCACCACATTTTCCACAGGCTCTACCCTTCAGCCACATCAGCCTTCAAACACCTGCTACTCTCACAACACAGCAGGGCTTTTTTGGGCCCCTGCATCTTGTACACGCCATTCCGCTGCTGTTTGCCCTTTCTTTTCTGCTGTTCTACCTTATAAACTCCTATTCATTCAAGACCAAGTTCAAGTGACAGCTTTTCTCGACTCCCCAGGCAGAATTACTTTCCCTCCACTGTGCATCATCTCATGTCCCATTTGTTTATTACACAGTTCAAGTGACAGCTTTTCTCGACTCCCCAGGCAGAATTACTTTCCCTCCACTGTGCATCAGTGTCATCATCTCATGTCCCATTTGTTTATTACACTTCCTTGTCTGGATGTCTGTTTGCCCTTGAAGAAAAGTGGCAGGGCCTTGTGCTATTTGTCAATGAACCTGCCTGCTCATAGATAACATATACTTCATAAGTGTTTAGTAAATGAGTGGATAAACTATATCAATCAAACCCAAATATTTTGCTTCTTAAAACAACTCAAGAAAAGTAGCATGTGAAGATAAAGGGATAAAAATGAAAAGGAAGGGCCAGCCCGTGGCTCACTTGGGAGAGTGTGGTGCTAATAACACCAAGGCCACGGGTTCGGATCCCTATATAGGGATGGCCGGTTAGCTCACCTGGGAGAGCGTGGTGCTGACAACACCAAGTCAAGTAAGATCCCCTTACTGGTCATCTTTATATAGAGAAAAAAAAAAATGAAAAGGAATTTCAACAACACTGTATCTATCAAGATGAAGCTGTTTGTGCAGGAAAACAAGCCAAGGCTTATAATTGTTCAACCAAAAGAAAATAAAGTAATAAATCTAGGAGATGGAGGAAAGGAAAACAAAAGATTGTAGAGAAAAGACTAGAGAAAGATCTCCGTAGTACTCAGCCAATGAGGAAGTGGGGGGAGGGACTTGCACACTAGGGAATAAATTGCTTGATGTAACCGTTTCTGGCATGCCTGCCCTTCAGACACCCCATCTCGCAAGACTACCATTAAAGTCCTGCTTCACTGTACCTCATGTCTGCACGTCCATCCTTTGCCTTTGGACAGGTGAGGGCATTTCTCACATTGATAAATATAAAACTTAATACTGGAGTGCTTCAAAAAGTCCATGGAGGGCTGGCCAAGATTAGCTCAGTTGGTTAGAGCATGGTGTTATAAAACCAAGGTCAGGAGTTCAGATCCCCTTACCAACCAACGGCCAAAATAAATAAATAAATAAAGTACAAAATATAAACACCAGAGAAATAGATGAATTTATGGGGGAGATGTAGAAGTACTTTTAACATATTACCTTGGATTGATTATATTAGCCATTCAACTGATCAGAGACAGAATATTTGATCTCATCAAAAAGACTAAGCAGCAATAAGAGACCTTAAAATGACCACTGAGGCCCTCCAACACCAGCTGCTTCTGCACTCATGGTCATACAGTATGGGTGGAAATCCTCATTTTCCCCATTCCCCATCCCCCCTAAAACTCTGTCATCACAGTCTTTGGAAGAGAGTCACTAAGCACAGCCCACACTCAAGAGGTGTAGAGTTAAGCTTTGCCTCCCTCAGAGGAAAGTATCTACATAAATTATGTGGAATTTTTCTGTATGGGATTTTTGTCTCTTCTCAATTTATTGACCCATTCATTGGGGCTAGCTGGTTAGCTCAGTTGGTTGGAGCGCATGGTGTTATAACAGAAAGGTCAAAGGTTCGGATCCCCGTTCTGGCCAGCTCCCCCTCCTCCGGCCCAAAAAAGAAAAAAGAATATTTATTGTATACTATAAATATTGGGTTAGAATCCAATACTATATTATTTGTTTTGTTGCTCAAATTGTTCTGCTTTAGGTATTGTGAGCTCTTTCAGGTTGGCTCCTCTTCCTTTTGATACACACCCCCCTTTTTTAATTACTTCTTTACTTCCTGGTATTACAAAATACTCCAGGATCATCTTGTATACCTGCTAAGACCCGAGCCTTAGAATCGGCCATTTCTCCATGGAGCCCTGGCTCCTCTATTGGACAACGGTAATAGAAAGCAAGACATGGGCATTCAGGAGTCTTTTTATGAACAAAATGAATCAAAAATGTATCAGTCTCTTGCACATCTTATTAGATTTATTTCTAGGGACTAAAGAGTTTCCAAAACTATTATAAATGGTGTTTTCTCTTTAATTATGTTTTCTAGTGCAACTGACATTTATACATTAAATTTTCTACCCAACTACCTTGCTAAACTCTTCTAATATTTCTAAAAATTTGTCTGTAGACTTTGGGGAGGGGGTCCTATGTAAATGATCATGTTATCTACAATTAATGACAGCCCTATTTTGTCCTTTCCAAATCATAATCTTCTAATTTATTTTTTTATCTTATTGTACCGGATGCTTGCTTTTCTCAACATGCTCTCAATCCCTTCAAGAGCCCATTTACTTTCAAATCTACTAAAATGGCCCTAAAACTAAGTGCTCAACCCCAATTGCTTATCTTCAGTTAGTTCTATATTTCTAATTATCCAAAATTCATCTTGTCATCTTGCCATCCCTATACATACCCTATTACACCCCCTTTAGCCTCCCCTCCTCAGTTCCCTACTCAAATATCACAGTTCAGCTACAGACAGCTTCATTCTTCCAGTTTTCTAGGCCAGAAGCACCTGGGCAATTTTCCTGGGTCTTACCTCTCCCTATCCTCCATTCCCGCTGCTAGATCCGGTATAAACCCTGTAACCTCACTAATATAATTACAACATCACAACTTAAAGAAAAGCAGAAACTACCACTGCTTGCTACTATATAATTCTCTAAACCAGTTGGAACTGGTTCCAAGTCTCCACCCAGACTAAAAATGTTCCAGTTCTTGCTCCTGCATTCAGGATTTCTTTCTTTCTTTTTTTTTTTTTAAAGATGACGGGTAAGGGGATCTTAACCCTTGACTTGGTGTTGTCAGCACCACGCTCTCCCAAGTGAGCCATGGGCTGGCCCTGCATTCAGGATTTCTTATCCTGTCTAATACTCGTAAAATAGGCAGATAAAAAATATATCAATTCCCAAACAATACATGTTAGAGCTACCAAATATTCTTGAATACCAGAAATATAACTGAATTATCACTTGCCTATATTTTGCTAGAACTTCTATACCACCCACATCTCCTGGTTCTCCTTCAATCA